TTGCAAATTTGCAAGACGAACGCACGCGGCGCTAAGGCTAGAGCCGCATTTTGAAAACCACCTGCCTTCAAACCGTGGAACTCTTGCGAATGTTCAAAACGAATGCGCGCGGCGCCACAGTTTGGAAAGATATATATATATATATAGAGAGAGAGAGAGAGAGAGAGAGAGAGACAACAACAAAATACGCCCCCAATCCGCGAAGCGCTTGCACATTTACAAGACGAATGCACGCGGCGCTAAGGCGAGAGCCGGCACTTTGAAAACCACCCGTTTTCAAACCGTGGAACTCTTGCGAATGTTTATGACGAATGCGCGCGGCGCTAAGGCGAGAGCCACATTTTGAAAGCCGCCCGCCCCCCATCTGCGAAATCGCTGTTAATTGTTAAGCTTCAGGGTCATAAGGCGCGAGAAGGTCTCAGCGGAAAGGCCGGGACTTCCATAAAAACTGGCGTCGGGGTGCGACGGGGAGAAATTATCTATAAGGAAAAAGAATGGAGGAGGAGGAGGAGGAGGAGGAGGAGGAGGAGGAAGAGGAGCAGGAGGAGGAGGAGGAGGAGGAGAAGGATGAGCAGGAGGAAGAGGAGGAGGAAGAGGGGGATTGGGGGGGGAGAAGGGAGATGGGAGGAGCACGGAGGAGGTGGAGGAAGGAGAGGGGGGAGCACGGAGCAGGAGGGAGAGGAGGATCGCCAAGAGGGGGAGACGATCAGGAGTGCATTACCGACCAGACTGCAGACCTCACCGATAGGCAGCTGGGGACAACTGCGACAGAGAGACACACTCCCCTGGCGGGCCACCCGCCACCAGGAGGCATCCGGGGGGGGGGAGCACCTGCCCGCGCGGCCTCCGCGCCGCGCCCATGTCCCGGCAGCGGCCCCCGGGAGCCCCAGCGGCCCCGGGGCCGCGCGGATGCCCCGGCGGCGCCCGTGGCCCCCAGACCGCCGGGTGCCGCGGGGGCAAACAACAGCCTAGACGAGCCTATCGTACCCGTGACGATCGCACCGATCTTAGGGCTTCCGTGGAGGAATGAAGACGGCACAAGCGTAACCTTTCAGAGCTCCGCGCGAATCTCTTGGATCATCGGCGCTGGGCCTCCCTCGCGGCGCCTCCAGCGCCGTCCATGGCGCGCCCCGCGCCAGGGAGGGGGGCTCCAGTGCCATGAAACGAGGCGCAGCGTTCACAGGCCCCTGGGCTCCTTTTCTGGCTACTGGATGAGGCGCGTCAGTATTTTTGGCGCGATGCTGCAAAGCACATCGTCGGTCGAGGTCGAAGCTTGCACATTGCAGTGAACGCGGGGGCAGGAGCCTGAGCCGAGGGGTAGACAACAGCACGCACATAACCTTTCGAAGCTTCGCACGGATCTCCGGGATCGGCGTTGGGCCCCCTTGACGGCGACTCTGGCGCCGCCCCTGGCGCGTTCCGCGTGCCAGGGAGGGGGGGCCCAGCGCCGATCCAGGAAATCAGCAAGGACTTCCGAAAGTTCAAGCGTACAGTCGGCCCGGATTAGTAGGTCGACCCTGCCAGGTGAAGGGTACCCTTGTGTCCTGTGCCTCGCGACACGTGCTTTCTTACACTCCTATTGCCATGTGGCCCTCGTTGTGTCCTCTCGCGTGTCCTGTCCAATCAAGGCCGACTGTACGCCATTTTCGCTTCTTCACGGAAGTCCCAAGGTCGGTACGATCGGCATGAGTACAGCAGGTTCGCGTTGCGTTGACGCGGTGGCGACCCCAACGCGGCATTCCAGGTTGAACGCCGCGGGTGGCCTGGGATCAGCTGGCATCGGGCGATCTCCGCGATCTATCTGGAAGCCGCGGTCGTTGCAGGTTGAACGATCCACGTGGTGTCAGAACCAGCGCGCATACCGCCATGACACGAACCTGCCATACGGGAAGAATAATGACGGCCGGCGCTGTCCATTTGAGACAAAATGTCGCTTGCCCAAGAGCGGCCGTTGTCGGTTTGGGGCAGTAGTTGCTCTTGGACATTGTACCCATGTTTTCCGTACCCATTTCGGGCGTGCCAACAAGACGGTGCGTTGGACGGTGCGTTGAACACGTTGCCGGGTAAATTGGTGAGGATTTACGGGCGCCCGCACGGTTTTGGGACATGAGTGAGTCGTTTGCCGGCGATGTCTCGGGGCGGCTAGGGCCTCCAGGATCCCAGGACGGTGCGATTTCACGGGCCGTGCGGTGAGGCCTGTGGGGTGTTCGAGGTCACCGCACGGCCTGTCACCACATCGTGTTGGGACCCCCCCAATACATGATCTTGGCGAGGTACCCAACCCTGTGCAGTTGTGAGTAACGAGGTAATGAGCATCCTCTTCGGTGGAACCCGTTCAGAGGGGCCCGAAATGGGTGCGGTGCCGCCATGCGAACGCAGCCACTGGGACAAGCCGTCGGCTCCTTATGGGGGCTCGAAGCTTGTGAGGGGTGTGCCGAACTGGTTACAGTGCCGCCATGCGAACGCAGCCATTGGGGCCTTCTGTTGAGTTCCTTAAGGGAGGCTCGAAATGTGTGAGGGGTGTGCCGAAAGTGGTACGATGCCGCCATGCGAACGCAGCCACTGTGGCCTTCCGTGGGACTCCGTACACGGCCACGAAACGTTTGAGAGGTGTGCCGAAGTGAGCGCGGTGCCGCCATGCGAGCGCAGGCACGAGGGCCTTCGGTGTAGCTCCTTACGGTGCCATGAAGCGTGCGAGGGGTGTGCCGCAATTGTCGCGGTACCGCCGTGCGATCGCAGCCATAGATGCATTCCGTGGAGCTCCTTATTGGGCCACGAAACGTGCGAGGAGTGTGCCGACATCAGCGGTGCCGCCATGCGAACGCAGCCATTGGGGCCTTCGGTGGAGCTCTTCATAGGATCACGAAACGTGTGAGAGTTGTACCGGAATTAGTGCGGTGCCGCCATGAGAACGCAGTCATTGGGGCTTTCGGTGGAGCTCCCTACAGGGCCACGGGACGTATGAGAGCTGTTCCGACTTGCGAGCGCGGTGCCGCCATGCGAACGCAGCATTTGTGGCCTTCGGTGGAGCTCCCTACAGGGCGACAAAACCTGTGAGAGATGCACTGAAATAGCTAGTGCGAACGCAGCCGCTGGGGCCCTCGGTGGAGCTCCTATGCTATGGGGCCACGAAACGTGTGAGCGGTGTGTTGGCATGGATGCGGGGCCGCCATGCGAGCGCAGCCATCGGGGCCTTCCGTGGAGCTCCCTATGGAGGCACGAAACGTGTGAGGGGTGTTCTGGCAAGCAAGCGGTGCCGCCATACGAGCGCACCCATTCAGACCTTCGGTGGAGCTGCGTATGGGGCTCGAAACGTGTGAGGGGTAAGCCGAAACGTGTGCGGTGCCACCATGCGAATTCAGCCACTGAAGCCCTCGGTGGATGCCGCCATGCGACCGCAACCACTGTTGTCGTCCGTGGAGCCCCCATACAGGGCCACGAAAAGGTGAACGCCTGCCGAGTGCTTCCATGCGAACGGCCATTGATACCTTCGGTGGACTTCCATATGGAGCCACAAAGCGTGTCAGGGACGTGCCGAGATGGACATGCGGCGGGCAGAGGCAAGAATGGGGAAAGTGAGCAAGGGAGGAGGGGAAGAGAGGATGAACAGGAGGAGGAGGAGGAGGAAGACCAGTGCAAACACAAGACTCGTCAAAGATGCTGCAACAAACCCTTCCTCCGAGTTCCCTCTTCAAAAGTCCCTACCACATGCATTTTCATCGGGGGAAGCGTTCCGTTGGAAGACAACCGTCTGAAGATCGGTAACCATGCCAAAGTACCAGCCTTGGGGCTTCAACGTTACGAACCAACGTCACTGCTGCGCCCTGGCGATCTTAAATCGTGCCAGATCACCGCGGCTTTCAACGCCGCAAACCAACCTGAGTGTCGCGTCCGGGCAGCCCTGAACTGTGCCAAAACACAACTTCATGGACGCCAGCCATGAGAAGATTTGAAACCGCTGCAAACTGTGAAGGCGAATGTGTGCGGCGCTAGAGCGAGAGCAACGTTTTGAAAAAGAACCACCCTCCATCCGTGAAGCTCTTGCAAACGGATGCGCTCGGCGCTAGGGCAACAAACACCACATTTTGAAAACCGCCCAGTCTCTATCCGTGAAGTTCTTGCACATTTTAAGACGGATGTGCGCGGCACTAGGGCGGTGGCCACATGTTGAGAACCGTTCGCCATCCACCCATGCAACCCTTGCAAACTTGATGCGCGCTGCGTTAACGCGAGCCACGGTTAGAAAAAGGGCCCGCCGTCCATCCGCGAAACTCTCGCAAATGTTTAAGACGAATGTGCGCGACGCGAATGCGAGAGCCACATGTTGAGAAAGGGCCCGCCCTCCATCCGTGAAGCCCTTGAACAGCTTCAGTTGCAAAACCATACATGGTGAGTAAGCCGCAGGCGAAATGCCCGGCCCGCCCTACCGACCCGTTTCGGGGAGCGATTGGGAGGAGTGATCTATAAGGGAGGGGGAAGAGGAGGAGGAGGAGGAGGAGGAGGAGGAGGAGGAGGAGGAGGAGGAGGAGGGAAGGAGGAGGAGGAGGAGGAGGAGGAAGGAGGAGGAGGAGGAGGAGGAGGAGGAGGAAGGAGACGCGAGGCAATGCGTGTTCAGAACGAGGACCCACCACCACAAAGTGGTTGGGAAACCGCCGTTTTTGCTTCTTTGTTTTGGTTTTTCTTTGCGACGGGGGGAAAGGGGCGGGGGGAGGCAATAGGATGTTGCCAGGAATGAACCTGGCCCAGGGGTGTTCCCAGGATTTCCCAGGAGGCTCCCACGGCCTCCAGGGCCCCCCCCACGAGGATCAGATGGTCCCAGGCGCCCCAAAGTGGGGCGAAAAGCTGGGGGCACCTTTTTGGCTGCGCCCACAAGGGGCTGGCCCCAGGGAGGTGGGCTTCTAAGAGGGCGGCAGGGCTTCTCAGAAGGCAGTGGGTTTCTTGGGAGCCCTCCCGTTTTCTGAGAAGTTCGCCTGGAGTCCTCCAAGACCTCCGCCTTCTTAGCGGGCCGCCACCGTCGCGTTACCTCATTGTGCGCGCCGCCACACCTTGGGCCAGGGCCACCTTTAGCAATCGCCGAAACGGTAATAGGGACGGCGGCGACGCTGACGATGCTTAGGGGAAGTAGGATCAGGGGGGGGACGCATCGATCCCCAATCGCCCATTGATCGCCGATAGGGGCCCGATAGCCCGCCCCGCCCAGGAACGCGCGGATTCGCTATCGGAGCCTATCGCCGACCTATGGACAATGCATCGCCGATTCCGGGTCGATGTTTCCCCCCCTGAGCCAGTCCCCCCCTACCGTTCCCCCTCAGATGTTCGGAAGACAAAGACTTCCAACGCCTTGGCAGAACAGCTGGAACGGCCTCGGGAGGTTGTTTTTGGGTTCCTGGGCCATCGAGAGACGATCCGCGACGGAAGTCGGGTCCGGCGACGGGGTCGCGAGTTGTGGGGTCCCCCTGTCATGAAAAAATGCGACGCTGGAAGTCTGGGTAGGTGCTGGCGTTTGCGATGGCGAGTGCCGCCTCGGCCGCTGCCGGAGACGCTGGCGCCGACCGTTGCGCGGAGCCAGAGCAGGGCAGCCAGGATGTGGCCGAACAGTTTCGGCTGTCTGCTGCGGGGGGCACCGACCCCTGCTCTGCGCAGGTCTTGTCGACGGCGTGGCTCATGTTCCCGTACGGGATGGGCGCGAAGCTCAACAATTACGTGAACGATTTGCTGGTGGCGATGCACAGGGGCCAATCGTTCGCGGTCTGCGTGGGGCCCGATGGTGACCTGTCTTTGGACCCATATTTTCGCGACGTCGGATTGCCGCGCTGCCTTCACTGCAAGGGTCCGCAGCTGGACTTGTTGGACGAGTTCCCCGTCCTGATGTACGGCACCATCTCCCGCCGCCGCACGGAGGAGGTAAAGGCGTTGTTGTACCAGACGCTGTTCCAGCCCACGGCGCTGCTGGACTCACTCGTGGGCGACCTCGCGCAGACGTTGGGCATCTCCTCCCAGAGGTTCGAGCGAAGGGAACAGTGCACATACACCGATCCCAGCCAGGCCCATCCTGGGCCAAGGATCGGTGCACAGGCTTCCCTGGCCAAGCCAGGAGGGAGTATGCACCGATCCTTGGCCCAGGACTGGCCTGGCCAGGATCGGTGTATGTGCACAGTTCTCCTCGGCGCCTCGCTTCTCCGCTCCTTCGTTTCCCGTGCTCGGCCCACTTTTCTTAGTCGGCCCGCCCCCTGGTCCGAAAAAGAGCTGCGCTGCCAAGGCTGCCCCGCTGGCGAAGAGCCGGGCGCCCTTTAAATCGTGTGTCTGTTTTTGTTCCCACACTATGTGACGTCGCTGCCTTTTGCCCGGGCAGTTCCTGAAGTATTTCGTCCACGATCTTCATTCGCACACGATATGAGGCCATGGCCTCCTGCGCCCTGCCCGCATGGGCACGGGCACACGTGCGCGCCCGACTCCGACTCCGTCGCTTCGCTTCGCTTCGCTTCGCTTCTCCTTCTCCCAGAGGTACGTGGGCGTGCACGTGCGCCGGAGGGACAAGTGGCGCGAGGCGCAGCCCGTACCGCTCGAGGCATACGCGCACGTGGCCACCCACCTGTGCGGGGTCGTCAACGCCACGAGGGTGTACCTGGCGACGGACGACCCCAACGGCACGGAGGCCAGCCTGAGGGCGCTGCTGGGGCCGGGCATACTCGGGGGCGCCCAGGTGGGGGGGCGAGGACTGGGTGTCAGAGATGGAAGAGACGCCGATGCCGCTGCTCCTCCTGGAGGGCCCTCGTCGCCACGACTGGATTATCCTCGAGGTTGTCGTCAGAACGCACCCCGGGAGAGATCCGGGGAGTAGCGGTATGGGTACCTGTTTGGCCCCCCAAGGCGGGTGAGAATATCGTGGCTAGGGCAGCGACATCTCCCACACCTCACGGTCCCCTCTTGTTTTCTCGATGCGCTCTTTGGCCCCCTCCTCGCCCGCGCAACCTACGCATGCCTTGGGCCACGACGCGCCACCCCCCCTCTCCGTGCCCCCCCCCCATCGGCGCACCCGATGTACAGTTGGTCGTGCGGGCCGCGCCGCCCGAGTCGCTCGAGGCACGTGGCGCCTACACCAACGCGGGAGCCAGCTGGGGGGCTGAGGTTCCAGCCGTTTGAGACGGGGAAAGGCACCGTCGTGCACAAGTTCCTTTCCATGGCCTCCCTGAGCCGCCTTGTCCAGATGGGCACTTCAGGCAGGCCTCGAATCAAGATGAATCGGTCCAGAGCGCTCCAGAGCGCTCTGAATCGGCCGCGGCTCCCGATACATCCTTGCCGAATCTGCCCCCCCCTTTCCCCTCCTGGACTGGCCCTGCTGGTGCCCAGCCGGAACAGACCCCCCAGCCGCCTCCAGCACCAACGCGTCCGTGCTCGTCCCGGTGCTGACCGACATGGAGATGTTAACCCGGGCGGCCGCCTTCGTGGGCACCGCCAGCAGCAACGTTGGCCGCTTCGTCTACTTCCGGCGCGGGGCTGGACGGCTCTCGGTGTCCCTGGACGACCACGGTGACTTCCTCCGAAGGCCGACGTGAGTGCCTGCCCGCCGCTTGCAGGAGCGCCAGGTGTTCTCCAGTGGTCGCTGCGTGCCTGTCGGCTTGCTGCAGCACCACATTGGGGTGTTGGTAGCCCCTCTACTTGCCCACGCAGGCGTGTGCTTAAAAGTGTTTGGGCAGCGTGTTGCTTGAGCATGTCCTTTGTGTTTTGCGTGTGCGCCGCATGAGGAGTAGAAAGCAAGTAACGATACGGACAATGACATTCATAATGCACGAATGTGGGAAGATGGGAAAGACAATCCGCGCGAAATCACGACCAATTTCTGATGGCACGAGCTGTTCTTTCTAGTCGTAAGAGTATTGCAAACATGTGCTGTCATATCGTAAGTGCGAACGTGGGCCTACGGTAGGAGCAATAAGAATTCGACGTTCTCGTAGCGGTCGTAGGAAATGGAATTGCCAGTATCGCTGTCGTCAAGTTTGTAGTGGACAGATGTGTGTATACGTGTATATATTTATATATGTATAAATTATGCATGCGTATGAATACCGCCCCCCCGGCCCCGGGTCCCATGCCTTCCCGCCACATCTCGGGAACGCTCCTGGTACCGCTTCCCCGGCCTTTCCGGGGAGCCTCCACAGCGCTCCAGGAAGGCCCAAGACGCCTCCCAAGCAGCCCAAGTCGGCCTTCCGACGGCTCTCGAGGCTCCCAGGTGGCCTCCAAGAGACCCCAAGAGAGGTCCGAGAGGCGTCCCGGGACGGCCCGAAGAGGCCGCAATCGTCGATTTTGATTGTTTTTGTTATGTTTTGGCTTATCGCGTTTTCGAGCTTCCAGAGAGACATCAGGACGGCCCCAGGACGGGCCAAGACCACCCAAGAGACCCTCAGGACGGCCCCAAGACGGGCCAAGAAGGCTCCAAGATTGCCGAAGAGGCGCCCAGGACAGCCCCAGACCACCCCAGAACAGGCCCAAGATGGGCCCGAGAGCGGGAGCAGGAGGCTTCCAGAGACCTTCGAGAGACCTCCGGGACCCCCCAGAGGCCCCCAACGCACCCCCGATCCCTGAGAGGCCCCAAAAAGACCCCGACGAGGCTCCAAGGACAGCCCAAGACAGCTGACATCTGGCTGGTACCGCGCCTCCCGGCTTCCCGGGGGGCCCCCAAGACGCCCAAAGGCAGCCCAAGACGACCCCAAGGAGCCCCCAAACGTAAAGAATGGCACAACACGATCCCGCGCAGCCCGAGACACCCTTCCGACAGCTCTCCAGGCCTCCAGGAGGCCTCCAGAACCCTAGGGGGTCCGGAAGATCCCACACCCCTGAGAGGCCCGGCTAACAAACCCGCGAGGCACAAACAAAAAACAGCGCCGAACAGCGCCGAGGAATTGGAAACAATGAAAATCCCGCAATTCCTTTTTTTCTCCAGGTTTGGCCCCCGGTCTACCCTTGCACAACAGACCGCAATTCAGACCCCCCTCACTTCCCCAAAAAGAACCCAGGAAGCCTTTAAGCCTTTAAGGGCCCCAAATCGTTGAACACCTAAAGGAAATTAATGATTCCCGCGTATCTGCACTTCCCCTTCTATGCGATTCCGAGGCTTGCGCAGAGCCTCCAAGGGAGTCCTTGGACGCAAGAAGCGACCAAAATGAGATTACATGAGTTAGCCTATCAAGACTAGCTAGAACTCGAGCGCGCGCGAAGCGCGCGCGATGGTTCTAGTATATATAGTGAATAAATACATAAATACAAGACTGCATTGGCGCTTCGCACCATGCACCTTGGTTCTTCGAGGTTCGCCAACAAGGTCGTTGCCGCCATCTTTCTTGGTCTGGAACTGCGGGACGACAATGACCACAATCGAAGCAGGTGAATACCGACATGCTGGAGGTGGTATGCGAATGTCGGTACAGCAAAAAGTTGAAGCCGAATGCTACGGATACATGTATACAACGAGCGTGGAAGGAAAACAGTACGGGCTGAACGGCAAGAAATACACACATGGGGCGCCGAAATCAACATAGTGCAGGTTTGGCGACGGACGTGCCTAACTGGAACGCCGCGAAACTGGAACTCGGACGTTCTGAGCCCTTTTGGGGCTCTTTTGGAGAGTTTTGGGCCTCCGTTGGGCCGTCTTCGGAACTTTGGGCTTTGAGGGGCCTTCTGAAGCCATGACCAGCCCTCTTGGAAGCTTCCATTGGCTTTCTTGGGAGACTGTTGCCGTCCGAACGCATCGTCAGCTTTTTAGATGATCTACATTATCGCGTGCAGGGTACGGGCGGCAACTGTGTTCCAAGAGTTGGCCGGAGAAATGGAACGGCAGGCAAGGGTCCGCTCGCATTTGGGCAAATTGCGGGTTTGGAGCCTGGGAAGCGGATTAGCCCCGCCAGATCTCGCGGCCCTCAGCCCAGACGCTTGGACAGCAGACAAACCACCTGAAGAGAACGGTATAGTGGTATTGGGGGCGCCGCTGGGGACAGATGCTTTCGTGGCCACGCATGCGCAAGACAGAATGACAACCGAGCAGCGCCTCCTCAATGAAATTGCATCACTTGAAAATTTCCAATATTCATGGGTGATGCTGACGTGGTCGGCGGTCCCAAGGGCAAGTCACATTATACGAATTCTCCCACCAGCTTTGTCCCACATGTACGCGGTGGCCCACGACGCAACTATTTTCGACACAGTTTGCACGAGGTACGGAGCGACAACATGGGATATTATATTGCTGCTTTGCCTGCTCGTTTGGGTGGTGTGAGTTTACGGTCAGCCGAACGAAATGCTCCAGGGGCCTTCGGGCATCATGGGTCAATGCGCTGCCTGTTCTTCGGCATAAACCGTCTTGGGAAACGACGCAGATTCTGGCAAACCTTAACCACGACAACGGACCTCACACAAAATGCCTCCAAACGGTGGCAGACTGCAAATCACAATTGGAAGAGGCCGGTACAGTTGGCCTTCCGACGTGGGATATTGCAGCTGCAGGGGTGGAGCCGCCACAACTGGATGATGACACTATTACCACGGAATTCGACAACGGATGGCAATCGCACGCCTGCATCCACTTAGATCACGACCATTTGGAACACGTGCTACGTGCCCGCGATGCCGCTCGCCGTGCTATGTTGTTGTCACAATCTGGAGGGGCAGCCAGCGGCAGCCAGCGCCTGGCTCTGAGTTATCCCCTCTGACCCGGTGTACACAATAGACACCGTGCGCTTCCAAGTGGCCGTGCGTCGGCGGTTACGGTGGCCCTTCCCGTTGTCTGGGAGAAAAATGCTGTTCGACATGCCAGTCCCGCTTGGACCCCTTAGGAGACCATGCAGCATCATGCCCACGCTCCGGCCGCTTGAAGCGATGCAGTACACCTATCGAGCGTATGTGGATGCGAATCATGCGGGAATCTGGGGCACGAGTGCGGGAGAGGGTTTACTTACGGGATACGGCGGTGCCGCAAATTGATCCGGCGGACGCCCGGCACATCGAAGTGGTAGCAATTGGACCTCCAGTGGCAAAGGGTGTATTTCTAGCTATCGACGCGACCATGGTCTCCCCGCTGCATGCGGACGGCTCTCCATGGAATTCCGCAGATTCATCACCGGGGATCGCTCTGGCCCGGGCGGACCGGACCAAAATTATCCCGGAAAAGCAACCTAACAGCGATGTGTAGGAGCATATTTGGAAGCATTCCCCTTAAGATTCAGATGAGAATCCAGTTGTAGAATTCTGCTGTTCTCGCCGTCGTAGTCGCATTCGCGATGACAGTCGCAGTGGCAACGGCAGTCGCAGTCACAGCCTCAGCCTCAGCCTGCCTCAGCCTCAGCCTCAGCCTGCCTCAGCCTCAGCCTGCCTCAGCCTCAGCCTCAGCCTGCTTCAGCCTCAGCCTCAGTCTGCCTTCAGCCTCTGCCTCAGCCTCAGCCTGCCTCAGCCTCAGCCTGCATCAGCCTCAGCCTCAGCCTCAGCCTGCCTCAGCCTCAGCCTGCCTCAGCCTCAGCCTCAGCCTGCCTCAGCCTCAGCCTCAGCCTGCTTCAGCCTCAGCCTCAGTCTGCCTTCAGCCTCGGCCTCAGCCTCAGCCTGCCTCAGCCTCAGCCTGCATCAGCCTTCAGCCTCGGCCTCAGCCTGCCTCAGCATCAGCCTGCTTCAGCCTCAGCCTCAGCCAGCCTCAGCCTCAGCCTCAGTCTGCTTCAGCCTCAGCCTCAGTCTGCCTTCAGCCTCGGCCTCAGCCTCAGCCTGCCTCAGCCTCAGCCTGCATCAGCCTCAGCCTCATCCTCAGCCTGCCTCAGCATCAGCCTCCGCCGTTGCTTCAGCCTCACCTCCGTCTCCTTCAGCCGTCGGCCATCAAGCTCCTCACCTGCTTTCAGCCTCAGCCTGCCTCAGCCTCAGACTGCATCAGCCTCAGCCTCAGCCTCAGCCTGCCTCAGCATCAGCCTGCCTCAGCCTCAGCCTCAGCCTGCCTCAGCCTCAGCCTGCTTCAGCCTCAGCCTCAATCTGCCTTCAGCCTCGGCCTCAGCCTCAGCCTCAGCCTGCCTCAGCATCAGCCTGCCTCAGCCTCAGCCTCAGCCTGCCTCAGCCTCAGCATCAGCCTGTCTGCCTTCAGCCTCGGCCTCAAAAAAACCCCCCCCCCCCCCTTTCCCCCCCCCCCAACAAGCCTGCCTCAGCCTCAGCCTGCATCAGCCTCAGCCTCAGCCTCAACCTGCCTCAGCATCAGCCTGCCTCAGCCTCAGCCTCAGCCTGCCTCAGCCTCAGCCTCAGCCTGCTTCAGCCTCAGCCTCAGTCTGCCTTCAGCCTCGGCCTCAGCCTCAGCCTGCCTCAGCCTCAGACTGCATCAGCCTCAGCCTCAGCCTCAGCCTGCCTCAGCATCAGCCTGCCTCAGCCTCAGCCTCAGCCTGCCTCAGCCTCAGCCTGCTTCAGCCTCAGCCTCAATCTGCCTTCAGCCTCGGCCTCAGCCTCAGCCTGCTTGAGCTTCAGCTTGTCTCAGCCTCAGCATCAGCCTGCCTCAGCATTCAAAATGTGGCCCGGGAATGGAGTTCTGGGAACTCGAAGAACACGAAGTGGCCTACAGTTGGCTCTGGGCATTCAAAATCATGCCCAGGAATGGAGTTCTGCGAACTCCAAAACCACGAAGTGGCCTACTGTTGGCTCCAGGCATTCAAAATTATGCCCAGGAATGGAGTTCTGGGAACTCGAAGAACACGAAGTGGCTTACTGTTGGCTCCAGGCATTCAAAATCATGCCCAGGAATGGAGTTCTGGGAACTCGAAGAACACGAAGTGGCTTACAGTTGGCTCCGGGCATTCT